CATAAGTACAGACCAAGTTCATCAAATTGTAGCAATTTACACTTGTTTTCTTTATCAAAAATTTTTATCTTCCTCTAGTCAAGTTCTAAAGGAGCTCTGGCAGTATAGTGGTTACAAATCAGGCTGCTAACCTCAAGGTCGGCAGTTCGAAACTACCAGCTGTTACGCGGGAGAAAGATGATGGTTTCTGCTCCCGTAAAGATTTACAACCTCGGAAACCCTGTGCAGGGTCACTATGAGTTGGAACCGACTCCATGGTACTTAACAAAGTCAAGTTCTGATCATCCAGCCCTTGAGGCTAGGTCAAATGGGTACTATCTGAAAGTTTGAGTGTTCTTGTGCATCTCCCCTCACTTCATATCAGCTGGACACTTCACTGTCAGTTCAAGCCCTCCGTGGCTATGTCCTTGTCCATGGGCTCAGGAGTCCACAGGTCTCACCACACTTTGGACCACTGGTTGCAATCTTGATGGGAGAGATTACCATGTCTTTCTCCCACAGAGTCACTGGGTGGTTTAGCACTACCAAGCTTTTGATTGGCAATTGAGCATTTAACCAGGGTCCCTTCCACACTAAGATGTAATACATTTCATCTGGAAAGGGCAATGGGGCTCAGAGCAGTCATAGGTCATGGGACCTCCAAGGCCATCATCCTTTGCACCAAACAAAGCCCACATGGCATGGACCGTTTTGCACCAAATCAAGGGCAAGAGGGGCAGGGACCACTTAAATCCATCATCAGCCCTGGGAGTCACGTCTGCCACTTGATTGCCTGTGACTCCATTTCCCTCTCTGTAAAATGTGGGTGTTGACCTGCACACCCTTCCTTCACCAGACTAAAATTCTGTGCTACAGTATTTTTTTTTTTTTAAATCATTCTGGAACTCTGTACAAATGGAACAAACTAGACTTTTTTTAAAAAGTCACTTAAAATAACGTAAGTAACACATGCTCGTTATAACAACAGATTTGAAAAATAGGAAAGTGGTCAATGAGATTTTAAGGGACAATTTCAGGCACTTAGAAATTAAACTGCGAAGTTAGGAACATTCATTGTCGATGAGCAAATAGAAGCTGTTAGCCACAGACACAAAAGAAACTCAGTCTCTATTTGTTTGAGCTGTTAGCTAGGGAAGCTGTATGTGTTGGAAAGTTAAGGAGAAAGAATGCATACTCCCAGGGTCGTGCCCCTGCAAACACCCTGTGTTCATCCTGTCACTACCACGGCTGCTGTGGCTGGTGAAAATGCCCCAGTCTGTTCAGTTTTCAGTCCAGTTGGTCTAACTTGTCATTTGGCTGCAAAGGGCTCCTGTGTTGGGTTCCTGAAGTTCCTGCAGGAGCCACCACCTCAGAGAGGGTCTCAGGACACACAGAGGGACCTGTGTGTTTCTTTCCATCTCTGGAAGACGCTAGACAAACCTATCCTCTCCTGGCCTCAAATTTTCCACCTGTAAAATGGGAGGGAGACAGGCATCAACTGGGACTCTAAAGAGTCTATTTCAAATTTGCTCCATAGGACTCCCAGCTTGAGGTCTGAGGCAGGCTCAGTTCTAGACACTCCAGGGAAGAGGATTTCTTTCTATTCTCCTCCCCAATCTCTGGAGGAATATGGTTAAGTCCAGAAACTAACTGCTTAAGGAAGGGAGGAAAGAGTGAACTATTGGGGGTGGGGAAGTGAAAGAGACAGCGAAAGTGGGGAAGGTCTTTACTTCCTATTATAGGCAGTCCCCAGATTATTAATGAGCTCCATTTGTAAGTTTGCCTTTAAGTCAAATTTTTATGTAAATCAGAACAGTTAGGTGCAGTTTGTATCTAATGTCAGTTAATCAAACATTTGTCTTAATATATAATATACCTTTCTATGCATCAAAAACATTAAATAAACGTTTCTAGATATGCTAAAAAAAATCTTTAATATGGTGGTGGTGGTGGTGGTGTGCCATCAAGTTGGTTCTGACTCACTGTGACTTCCATATAGGATTTCTGAGGCTGCAAATCTTTACAGGAGCAGAAAGCCTCATCCTTCTCCCCCCAGCAGCTGATGGATTCAAACTGCTGACCTTATGGTTAGCAGCCCAATCCACTAGACCACATGGGTGCCTTCCCATAACTATGTTGATGTTGTTATGTGGTGTGGAGTCAGTTGTGACTCAGCTTCTCTATATAGGGTGCAAGGAGTGGTTGGTGAGTTTGAACCACCGACTTTGTGGTTGGCAATCCAATGCTTATCCTACAGCGCCACGCCAGTAACAATAATGTTTTGATGTGTGTCTCAAAGTAGCAACCATTTGTTACTCCAAACTATTGGAGGTGGTACCTTGAAACTTTAATATAATAGGCTTTATGGGGGTTGAGGAAGATGGAGCTCTGGTAGCATAGTGGTTATGAGTCAGGCTGCTAACCTCAAGGACAGCAGTTTGAAACTATCATCAAAAGAAGAAAGATTTACAGCCTCCGAAATCTTATTCAGGGTCGCTGTGAGTCGGAACCAACTCCATGGCACACTATCACTACCACTGTGGGTAGTGGATCTTATGCAAGTTGGACTTTTGTAACCTGGGGAATACCTGCGTACTGAATCCTGGAGGAGTCGGAACTCTCCGTGTCTCACAAGTTTCCCACCTTGTCTCTCTATTAGTGGAAACGATTTGAGTTTTCCTTCTCTGGCAAATTCCCACCTCACACAGGTCCCACCTTTTGCAAGTTTTACTGCACAGCACAAAAGACCTCTAGAATCTCAGAATTTAATCCATTCTTTCTTTCTTCCTTTTGCTTTTTATGGTGATTTGGGTGAAAGTTTACAGAACAAATTGGTTCTCCACTCAACAATCCATACACATCTCATTTTGTAACATTGACTGCAACCCCCCACAATGTAACAGCACTCTTCCCACCTCCTCCCTGTGTTCACTATTTCTATTTTTCCTTCTTTCCTATCTCTTCCTGTCTTCTGAGCTTCAGTCCTGGGCAAATGCTGCCCTTTTGATTGCATATGACTCGTAGGCTTCCATCCATTCTTGCCTTGAACATCTACAAACAAATAGCATTGGCTGGTTCTTGCTGGGCCAGAATCCTCTGTACTGAGCTAGGAGCCTGGCATTAAGCAGAGATCTCCAAACTTGAGTGCATCCCAGGACCACGGGACCACCTGTTAATGCATATGCGCTGGGCCCCACCCACCAAAACACTTGTTAAACAGATCTGGAGTGAGACTTTGGGGTCTGTATTTTTCATTGGTGCCAATTGGTGTACGCATCGCACCTGGAGGTGCCGGCATTGGGAAAACAATGAGTGCAGCTGTGCTGTGGCCCAAGGTTGGCAGTACCCCGAATAAGAAAAGTCTGGCTTCACTGAGTCCCGGGGGGGTGTGCCATCAGAAAACCGAGAGAGAGACACTTTGGGTTCAGCATAGATCTATGCTTTCTATTTTATGGGTTAGTATTAGTTTTATTAAGGTGCTCTGGTAGTGTAGTGGTTACAAATCGGGCTGCGAACTGCAAGGTCAGCAGTTCGAAACTACCATCTGCTCCCGTAAAGATTTACAGCCTCGGAAACCCTGTTCAGGGTCGCTATGGGTCAGAATCGACTCGATGGCACTTAACAACAACAACAGCAACATTAGTTTTATTATCAATTACATTGTGGGGATATTGTTGTTGTTATGTGTCATTGAGTCAGTTCTGAATCGTAATGACCCTATAGGACTTAGGTCTATACTACTAAGGGTCTACTATAGGACAGAACTTCCCCATAGGATTTCCTAGGTTGTATTGTTTATGAAAGGAGCTCTGGTGGCATAGTAGTTACGAATCAGGCTGCGAGTCGCAAGGTCAGCAGTTCGAAACTACCAGCGGTTCCGCGGGAGAAAGATGAGGCGTTCTGTTCCCGTAAAGATTTCCAGCCTCGGAAACCCTGTACAGGGTCACTATGAGTCGGAACCAACTCCATGGCACAAAACAACAACAACAACACTGTTTATGGAGCAGACTGCAGGTCTTTTCCCCACACAGTGGCTGGTGGGTTTGAACCACTAACTGTTTAATAAGCAACTAAGTACTTAAGCACTGTGCCACTGGGGCTCCTAATTGTGGGAGTAGGGGTTCCACAATCCTTTATGGTCTTAAAACCTCAGGGGTCTCAGCTGAGTGCCGAGTTTCATGATTGTAGTCATTACAAATAACGATAGCTGATTACAAGCCAAACACTGGTCTAAGTGCTTGGCACACATTGATACTTTTACCGGATTTTACACAAATAATATGTACAGTATATGGGTTTTCAAACCACAAGACCTCTGGCATTATATGTGTGTACTCGTTATATGTGAAAATACAGCAATTCTCATACTCATCCTATGCAATTGTTTGTTGTTGTTATGTGCCATCGAGTCGGTTCCGACCCATAGCGACCCTGTATAGGGTTTCCGAGGGTGTAAATCTTTACGGGAGTAGAAAGCCTCATCTTTATCCCGCGGAGCAGCTGGTAGTTTCGAACCGCTGACCTTAAGGTTCGCAGCCCGATTCGTAACCACTACGCTACCAGAGCTCCTATGCAATAGCTACTATTATTTATTGTTGTTCTTGTTAAGTGCCCTCAAGTCAGTTCTGAGTCATAGCAACCCTGTATAGGGTTTCCAAGGAGCAGCTGGTGAACTTGAACTGCCAACCTTGTGGTTTTAACCGACCTTGCAGTCCAGGCTTTATCCCACAGTGCTACACTAGGACTCCAGCTAGCATTTAAAGCCCTTAGTTTACTGAGGTTCAAGGAAACTAAGCAACTTGCTTGAGATTCTATACAGCCAGTCCATGGCAGAGTTTGGTGTGGACCCAGTTGGTCAAGCCTGCATATTCAGCCACTGTTGAATCCTCTCCCCACCACACACACCTGCCACACAGGAGGTACTGGGTGACTGAGCATGCTCACACCTTCCTCCTCTTTCTCCTCCTCCCCACAGAACATTTCCACCTTGTTTCCTACCTGTCAGTGAGCAGGCGAGGCAGCTACTCTTTGAAGAAGGGTCCTTGGAACTGGGTTGCAGCAGGGGCTTTGACCTTCCTGCACTGCCTGGTGATGTACGGGGCTGCTGGAGGTGGGTAACGGGATGCCAGGCGGAGACTGTAGCTGTTCAGGGAGAGGAACAAAACATGTCATCACTAGGATATAGATCACAGACTCCTAAGTCACACTTGGCCATCTGGAGGCCAGGTGACAAGTTTTAGTCAACGGAATCCAAGCTTTAACAACCAGTGTGTGTTTCTCAATGCTAGATCCCCTCCACCCCCATCCCCAGGTGAGCAAAGATGCAGCCCAGGTCTCTGCAACACCACAAGGAGCATAGCTTCCTGATGACCCCTGCAGTCACTGATGTCAGTGTGCAGGTGGTAAAGACAGCTGGACCATTCCAGTCCCGCCTCCCACCTGCCTCCTCAGGCATCGTCCTGCCCTCCTGCCCCATCTAGAGCATGCATCACCACTAAGACCAATAAGAAATCATCAGCAGATGACTGAACAAACTAAATGTGGTCCATCCATACAGCGGAATGTTAGTCATAAAGACAAGTGAAGTTCTGGTGTGCACTACCACGTGGACAAATCCTGGAGACACACTGAGTGAAATAAGTCAGTTACAAGAGGACAAATGTTGTGTCATCCCACTTACATGAAGTAGGAAAATGTATAGAGACCAAAGCTTCTTAGTGGTCACCAGAGGTGAGAGGGAGGAGACAAGTCTCAGCTTAGGGGCATTGAGTTTCTTTAAGTGGTACAAGAAGACTTAGGAAGCCACTTGGCACCGCAGGATGGATGCAGCCAATGCCCCTGAATTCTGTATGTAAACATGTTAAATTGACAAAGGTTTGGTCATATATATGAGAGGGCTTCAAAAACTTCATGGAAAAATAAAATTAAAAGATAATATAGTGTTCATGAACTTTTTCAGCCCCTTCCCATATAGACATATATATGAGATACATACATACAGATATGGATCAACTATCAACACTCAAGGAAGCAGCAGTCAAGAAATCAAACGACGTATTGCATTAGGTAAATCTGCTGCACATGGACTGACAAAAGAACAAACAGATCCGTGTTGGAAGAAGTGCAGCCAGAATGCTCCTTGGAGACCAGGATGGTCAAACTTCGTATCTCATACTTCGGACATATTGTCAGGAGGGACCAGTCGCTGGAGAAGCATATCATGTTTGGTAGGGTGGAGGGTCAGAGAAAAAGAGGAAGACCCCCAATGAGATGGATTGGCCTGGTAGCAGCATCAACGGACTCCAACGTGGCAACAATAGTGAGGTTGGCCCAGGATCGGGCAGTGTTTCGTTCTTCTGTGCATAGGGTTGCTATGAGTCAGTACTGACTCAATGGCACCTAACAACAACAGCAACATATATGTACATATATACACGCATCATATATGTTGTTGTTGCTATTGTTTGGTGCCATTGAGTCAATACCAACTCATAGCAACCCCATGCGCAACAGAACGAAACACTGCCCAGCCCTGGGCCAACCTCATAATTGCTGCTATGCTGAACCCATCGCTGTGCTAATACATTTCCTTGGGGGCGGGGGGAGAGGGCACTTCATCTTTTACTCGAACCCTCCTCTTTACCAAACATGATATTCTTCTCCAAGGACTGGTCCTTCCTGATAATATGAGATGAAGTCTGGCCATCCAGGCTTCCAAGGAGCACTCTGGCTGTACTTCTTCAAACACAGATTGGTTTGTTCTTTGGGCAGTGCATGATACTTTCAATATTCTCCTCCAATACCATAACTCAAATGCATCAATGCTTCTATGATCTTCCTTAATCACCATCCAACTTTTGCATGCATATGAGGGTATTAAAAATATCATAGCTTGGATTAAGCACAGCCTAGTCCTCAAACTGACATCTTTGCTCTTCAACACTTTAAAGAGGTCTTGTGTAGTAGATTTGCCTAATGCAATATGTTGTTTGATTTCCTGACCACTGCATTCCTCAGTGTTGATGAGTGATTTGAGCAAAATGAAGTCTTTGACAACTTCAATCTTTTCTCCATTGATATGGATGTTGTTTATTGGTCCAGTGGTGAGGATTTTTGTTTTCTTGACATTGAGATGCAACCCATACCAAAGGCTGTGGTCTTTGATCTTCATCAGTAAGTATTTTAAGTGCTCTTCACTTTCAGCAAGCAAGGTTGTATCATCTGTATATAGCAGGATAAAGGTTGTTAATCCTGATGTCATGTTTTTCTTCACATAATCCAACTTCTTGGATTATTTACTTAGCATACAAGTTGAATAAGTATGGTGAAAGAATACAATCTTGGCGTTCACCTTATCTAATTTTAAACTATTCAGTGTTCCCTTGCTCTGTTCAAACAACTTCCTCTTGGTCTATGTATAGATTCCTCAAGAGCACAATTAAGTCTTCCTGAATACTCATATTTCACAATGTTTTCTATAGCTCATCATGATCCACACAATTGAAAGCCTTTGCATAAACAATAAAGCACAGGTAAACATCTTTCTGGTATTCTCTGCTTTCAGCCAAGATCCATTGGACATCAGCAATGATAGCCTTCATTCCACAGCCTCTTCTGAATCCAGCTTGAACCTCTGAAAGTTCTCTGTCAATGTATGCTTGCAGCCATTTCTGTATTACCTTTAGTAAAACTTTACTCGCATGGGATATCAAAGATATTGTCCGATGATTTCCACATTCCGTTGGGTCACCTCTCTTTGGAATGGGCACAAATACGGATCTCTTCCAATCAGTCGGCCAAATAGTTGTCTCCCAAATTTCTTGACAGAGATGAGTGAGTGCCTCCTGTGCCACCTCATTTTGTTGAAAGATTTCGATTTATATTTCATCAATTCTTGGAAGGTTTTTCATTGCCAATGACTTCAATGCACCTTGGACTTCTCCCTTCAGGGTTATTGGCTCTTGATCATAAACTGCCTCTTGAAATGGTTGAACACTGACCATTTCGTTTTGGTACATGACTCTGTGTATTCCTTCCATCTTCTTTTGATGCTTTCTGCATCCTTCAGTAATTTGCCCAGAGAATCCTTCAATACTACAAGTCGAGGCTTGAATTTTTAATTCAGTTCCCTCAGCTTGAGAAATGCTGAGTGTGTTCTTCCCTTTTGGTTTTCTGACTCCAGTTTTCTGCACATTTCGTTATATATAAGACTTTGTCTTCTTGAGCTGACCTTTGAATTTTTGTTTCTTCAGCTCTTGCACCTCCTCATTTCTTCCATTTGCTTTAGGATCTCTACAAATGTGTGAATACATATACGTATGTATGTGTGTGTGTATTATGTATATGTACATATATACACATACAAGTATACACACACACATATAAATCCACAATAAAATTATTTTCAAATCGGATAAGGGAGAGACAGAGGAGAGGTACATCTGGGAGTTTGCTATTATACCTGCTGTGGGGGAGAGGGAAAGGGAGGGTCAGGTCCCCTCCACCCCATTCACCCCACATTCAAAATCCATCCTGGGCCACACATTTCCATATCAAGTATTTCCAAGAAGTGAAAAGAAGTGAGCCCCAATAAAGATGTGAACCCAGAAGCCTTTATCCTTTACCCATTTGAACCTATAGCTCATTCAGTCGGATTGAATTTTCAGAATAGCTTTTAAAATAATCTTTGCAGCCATTTATTTTATTTTATTGGTGTTGAAAATACACACAGCAGAACATTCACCAACTCAGTAAGTTCTACATGTACAATTCTGTGACATTGATGGCATTCTTTACGTTGTACAACCATCCTTTAAAAATAAAATTAAAAAGAAGATGGACAACCCACATTGCTATTCCTCCCCTTCCTACACCACCTGACTCCACTTGACTTTCAGATTCCAGCTGAGAAACCACCTCCTCCAGGAAGTCTTCCTTCTTGAAATCCTGGGTGAGCTGCCCCTCCAGTGGGCTCCCCTGCCCCTGATACCTCCCCAGCCAAGCACTTGTGACATTGAATAGACGACACAGTATGACCTGCCTACCTCCCTTCTTAGCCTTTGTCTTGTTCATGCTGCATCTCCAGCTTAACACAATAAAATACCTGCCGAATAACCATGACGCGCAAGGGGCTCTCTCTGTGCTCTGTGCTTTACTAATGAACTGCCTGGCTCCTCCTGCATGGGGGCCAGGGCTGGCTCATTGATGGAATTCTCACCTTCCACGTGGGAGACCCAAGATCAAATCCCAGCCAATGTACCTCATGCTCAGACACCACCCCTCTGTCAGTGGAGGCTTGAACAGACTTCAGCAGAGCTATCAGACTAGTCAAGAAATCAAACGAC